ATATTTTCTTAAATAAAAATTTTAAGGACAAACTTGTTCTGTCAAGTCATTGAACAAATCTTATCTAGTTTGTTGAAAACCACTGTTTCATCTAGCAATGAATGAGAAAAAGGTCTTTTTGTAGGAGTCTTTTTTAAATTTATAGGTGTAGGAAGTAAAGATGGCTTTAAAAAACAATATTTATTTGTATGAATTGTTGGAATAGGATTCTTTGTAAAGTCTAGTATATTTCTTTTGCCTCGTTTAATAAATTTTTCTTTGAAATGATCAATATATACTCCTGAGAATTTAGATGGTTTCCAGTTAATTCTGTTTACAAACTTGATCCACCAGGAGCATAAATTTATGTCTGAGGGAAAATTAAATACTGTTTTAGAATAAAATCCTCTACAGTATTGTCATTTTTTTTCTTTTTGTAACCGCTTCTGCAAGCAACTACACAGCATTTTTGAGGCATTTTATAAGACAAATAAATAATGTTAAAAGATAAAATGAAAGTTTATTTTTATTCTAGTAAAAATAGTTGTAATTCTGTTGAGAACCATTTTAAGCAACCATTTTAAGAACTTGACTAAAAACTGGCCTACTAATTATTGGACTTTTAAGCATTAAGTCCGGCCGTGTATTTAAGTAGGCCATGATATATATATATATATATATATATATATATATATATATATATATATATATATATATATATATATATATATATATATATATATGTATATATATATATATATATATATATATATATATATATATATATATATATATATATATATATATATATATATATATATATGATTTAAATGAAAAAAGTACAACTTTATTTTTTTTTTCCTATCTATGCAGATTCATATTTTCAAAAAATTCTTACTTCACCTTATTTATTACGACCACCCTCCTTTTTTACTTTGCACACAAGAGTTTTATGACTGAGTCAAATTTTTTCTTTATGTATTATGTAAATTTATACTAAATTTGGGTCATCATATTTTCTATAAAAAATATCCATTTAAATTAAATTGAAATTATACCTATATCTCATTTTGAAATCCACAATGTACTCTACTAAAAGTTAACATAACAATTTTAATACTCAAAGTTAATATTAAAAAGATTCTTATAACATAAACATTACTACTCTCTGAACACAAATAGTACAGTCAAGAGTTTCGGAAACAAGTTTAAAATTTCTATTTATTGAGTATAAACTAAATTCAAAATATACATTGATGCTTCACCTCTACAGTATAAAGGTTAAATGAGTATCTGTTTGGAAGGTATTTGTTTAAAGCACATGAACCACATCAAGGTTCCTTCCTATTCATGTGTATGATTTTTTATACAGAACGATTGAAGGCATATGACAGAGGAACACACCATCAATTAGCAACTGCTTTTCCTTGTACATTTTTCCCCCTAGATTACATATAAAATATAATGTATAATGGCAATGTACAGTAGTGGATTAAGATATTTTGGGGCCCAGTGCTGTTTTAAATAAAGGCTAAAGTTTTTATTTTATTTTCAGAGTTTCTTTTGAATATATATTTTTTTCAATATATACTTGTGAAAACTCCAAAACTGTGGGGCCAAGGGCTATAGCACTTGCAATGTAACTCCAAAAGGAAATATGCTAAGGTTTCTTAAAGTTTAAAAAGTTTTAAAAAACATATATCTACTGATCACAATCCACATTTTGAAATACATTAACAGATTTAGATAATCATTTTTAAAATGTTATTAAAAGAAAATTTTTACTTACCTTTGTTAATTATACCATTAAAATTTAATGATTAAATTTTGGATGTTACAATAAAATGTCACCTAGATACGATTCTAGTTTCTCTAGCATAAGACACAATTTTATTGAGGTAAGAACCGGTAAAACATCAACTATTAAATACTTTTCAATGATAGCTTTATAGCAATGAAATACTTCAATGATGCAAAACTATAGAGGCAGCTACCAGATTTGATCTAAAATAAATTCAAATAACACAAATAAGCCTTTTATAAACAAATCTTACAATCCTTTAGATTTTTTTGCATAAATAAAGGTAACTTGCAGGTAACACATTATGAATAGCTGAACCAATAAAAAGATGGTGGTTAAAGTTTCTAAATTTTAGCACCAACCATTAACTGTATAATTCAAATTAAATATGGCTGATTAATAAAAAATATATATAACTGTCATTTTCTGCTATGCATCAAGCTTTAGGCAACATTAATCAGATATACTTTTTGTGGAAAAATTTTTGCTTATATTGTAATTGACATAATGCATAATCTATTTTTAAAAAATATGTTTAAATATATAAACATCACAGCAGCAATATTACAAAAACGATGCTAGCAGTTTGTAATTTACTAAGACAAGCATTTGTTTTTATAATTTATAAAAAATAGGTATCTATATAAAAAATATATATGTTAACATTACAGCAGCAATATTATAAAATTATGCAAGCAGTTTGTAATTCACTCAGCCAAGCATATGTTTTTATAATATAACAAAAAGAGAAAAACAATTGTTGTTTACTTTTTGCATATTCATAAAAATGCAGATAAAGCAACAAATTATCTTCACTGAAGATAATTTCATAATAGCATAAAGTAAATAAAGCAGTATAAACAGTTAATAGTTTTCTGTATGGGTTCAAGTATATCCAATTTTTAGTTATTGATGTTTTGATGGTTCTAAACAGAAATTTTGCTTTAGACGAATGCAGGTTTTCTTTATACAAAAAACATAAAAAATCTACTTTATAAGGCAACTTCTTTTAAACTATGAAACTACATCATTTTTCTCTAAAGCAATTAGTATATTATAACAAATGTTAGACATCATAAGTTAGACACTTAAAGAACTTAGCAATTCTATATGTAAAATCATTATTCAGTTTACCGGCTTGTTTATTAATTTTTTTTTAACTTGCACAATTAATTTCCAGACTTTTTATACCTGATTCAGATAAGGTTAGGTGGATTGAACTTAAATTCATACTACTTTAGGCATAATTTAACTTAATTTTAGTCATTCGAATCCACACCTGGATCAGATTCGGAAAAACTTATTTTGCCTAATGCATGAAAAAGCCATTATGCCTAACCATATTTTGTAACACTCCCGTGCTTGTCGTAGTTAAGTTAAGCAGCGTAGTTTAACATCTCAGCAATTGAGAATATTAAACAGTGTGTGTGTATATATATATATATATATATATATATATATATATATATATATATACATATATATATATATATATATATATATATATATATATATATATATATATATATATATATATATATATATATATATATATATGTATATATATATATATATATATGTATATATATATATATATATATATATATATATATATATATATGTATATATATATATATATATATATATATATATATATATATATATATATATATATATATATATATATATACACACACACACACACATATATATTTATATGTATATATGAATATATATTAGTGTAATGACAAAAAAAAAAAAAATTTCGGCCTTTAGTAGAAGCTAATGAACATTTTGTTACTGATCAAGAAAGTCACATTTATTTCAATCAGTTTAAAAAAAAGTTATGCTCCAACAACAAGGTGAGTGCCATATATTACCAAAAATATTTTTCTCCCAAATTATTTAAGTTGAGTCTCAAAAGAAGTGAAATTTATGATGATTTCATAAAAAATGATTTTTTTAAAATTCAAATGTTTGAAAAAAAAAGTGTTAAAAAATGTTTAAAAAAATGCTTTTGCTTGAAAATGTTTTTTTTTGCAATAAATTTCAAAACATTTACTATTATTTTTGTTTTTTTAATTTTTACTTATATTTGGACTTCTATAAAATTTTGCTACTTTTGAGAACCAACTTGATATACTTTGGGAGAAAAATATTTTTAGTTTCCTAAAAAGCCATAGAAAGGTTTTCACCTAAGAGTTTGAGCTGGCAGTATCTGCTTATCAACAAAATATATCTATATGAATATGTATCTAAAAAAAATATATAAGTTAGCAAAAATTATGAACTATTATTTGAGTTTCAAGTGACCATTGTATCATAAAACTAAATTTATTTGTATAAATAGTTGAGTTGATGTAATTTGTAAAGCTGTAGGAAAATCAAATCAAATGCTCACTCTTATTAAATAAACTTTCAAATATTTTGATTCAAATATGGTAAAAAAATTATATACAACTTATGTAAGATCAAATCTTGAGCTTGCTATTCAAATACGGTGTCTTTATCAGAAACAAGACATTTTAAAGTTAGAAAAATTACAAAGAAGAGCTGCAAAACTAGTATCGGTTTTTTAAAATAATGCCATATGAAAGAAGATTGCAGTTAATGAAATCAACAACATTAGAAGAGTGTCGTTTATGAGGAGATTTAATTTTTTAATATAAAATACAAGAAGGTTATGAGGAGATTAGTTGGATAAATGACTTAATATGTAAAGCTCAATTAAAGCATTACAATTTTCGTGGTCAAAACCAAAAGTTCGCAAAGGCATACTGTAAGAGTAATGCTTGATTTAATTTCTTTTCATGTAGAGTTGTCAAAGCTTGGAATGGTTTACTGCCATATATTATAGAATCAATAACAATTGATCAATTCAAAAAATAACTTAATAAATCTAACTATTGCAAAAATTATTTATTAAATAAAACAAAATAAAGATTATATACATTAAAAAGTAAAAAGTGCTATTATAAAAACATTTATAGCTGTTATAGCGCGACATCTTCTGTTATTGTGCTCTACAATTGATTTCATCAATTGTCACAGTGTATACTATTATTATTAATGTTAATATATGTTTGTTTGTAATTAGTGTGTAATATAGTTTATATTAATTCAGTATAATAATGATTTTTATTATATGTTTAATAAAAAGATTTTATTTTATAACAAATGTTCTGATAAGACTGGAACATTTTAAATAATGTTTTTTTAGTATGGATTTACTTGTTTACATTATGCAGCAAAAAATGGACATGAGGCAATTGTAAGGCAGCTTCTAAATTCAGATGACGTTGTAATTGATCATCCAACATCTAAAAAGGTTGGTTTATTAACTGCAATAACTAAAGCAAAGAAAATTATTTAATTAAATTTTATTTTGTTCTGCACATTTCAGGGTTTGTTGCCAATACATTTGGCGATAATAGAAGGCCATGCAGGTGTTGTAAGTTTACTATTAAGTCGCTCAGCTGATCAAATTTCAGCTAAAAGTGCAAATGGAAGAGCAGCACTTCATTTTGCAGCAGGAAATAAACAACTAAAGCTTGTGCAGCTTCTTATTGGACAAGGTGCTAATATAGATGAACAAGATAAGGTTATATTTTTTTGGCAACAAAATATTCTATTATTATTTAGTGTTTATCAACTGAACCAAGTATTTATCAACTGAACCAAGTACCACCATATATTACCTTTTTATTTTGAGTTGAGGTTTTGTTCTATGAAATGAACAAAAATGAAAAATTTGGAAATTGCTGAGTTTTGTGAAGTATATATATATTAAATCTTTAAAAATGTGTCAACAAAAAAAAAAGAAATTTTGTTATATATTAAATATTTTAAATTGGTTTTAAAAATATGTAATACAAATAAGAATTGATTTTTACTATATTTATTTAAAATTTATATAGAAATTTTACATTTGTTGAATATTTATTGACTAGAATCTTGATACCACTTAATTAAGTTGGTTTTATCACTAAAAAATAAACAACTTTTTCTTTGCTCTAAGATTATTTAATTGAATACATTCAGTAAAATCTTTATGTATTTTGCTAATTAAAATTGTTTAATAAACACTCATAAAACAATTTGAATAATAAATTAAAAAAAAATTTTTGTTTACTTAAAAAATAAACGTTAAAACATTTTTTACAGTCAAGAGTTTGTGAATATAAAATGTTAAAAACGATTTTGTTAGAAATTTGTTAAACATCAACAATTTTTTTGAATATATAAAATTTTGATATATAAAAGATAGCAGGCTCCTTTAATTGTGGTTTAATTGTGTACTAAAGGCTACTTTGATTGTGGTTACAACCCTCTCTCAACTCAATAACTCTGACACAAAACTTGATGAAAAAGGATGCTTCATGGAGAAACAAGTTGAGCTCAGTACTAACAGCTGCATGATAGGGATTGAACTCCCCACCACATCCCAGTTACATAAAATACAGTTAAATCCAGATCTTTTAACTTTGTTTACTAAATTCAGGTATATTTAAAAGATAAGGATATGATACATTTGAGATATAAGGTTGATATATTGTGACATTAGAATAATAGGGTAAAATCTCCATTTTGTAACATTGAGAGAATTTAACAAAACTTGTTATACTCTTTTAAATTTTTTCAATTAAAAGTAAAATTTGTTAAATTAAAAGATCAAAATATCAAAATTGAACACACGCTATTTATTATTTATTAAGTAATGGTATAAAACAAAATAGCATGTCGATAGATGAGAATTATGAGGTTCCCAATTTTCCTGGTAAAAAAATTTGATTTTCTGTTTTTATTTATTAAATTTTTTTTGTGTTTAAAATTATATATTTTTAGTATATTAATCTTATTATTGTTATTTATATAATATTTAAAAATGTACGTTTTTGTTTTTTCATTGTTAACTTCAACCTATTTAATGAAGTTGGAATTAACAATTAATTTGTAAACTAACATTATAAAATTGATAATTTAAGATTAATTATAAAACATAAATTACAAAAAAAACATACATTTTATTAATATAAACAACACCAGCTGTAAAATAATTATTAATTGAAAATCGAAAGTTAAATTCTCTCAAGTTTAAAAAGTGAAGATAGAACCCTAGCATAGCATTCAAACAAGTTTTTAAATAGGGCATATCCTGTCAGCAGTAGAAGATGGTCTTTGGCAGGTTTTCTAATTAAATAAGAGAAATGATATTTTAAAAAGTTTGACATTGTCATTTGCTGTCTGATTAGGTATGGTGTTTGATTTAAAAACAATGTGGTTGGTAAAAAAATGATGATGAGGCTGACAGTTTTCAAGTATTTCATATCTAGACTGTGAACCAGTTTGATTGCCATGACTGGGATACTTATTTGTAGTTTATATATGTAATGTCTTCATTATGTGATTATAATGCTATTATTGTCTTATTATGTGATTATAATGTCATTATTGTCTTATTATGTGATTATAATGTTATCATTGTCTTATTATGCGATTAGAATGTTAAGGCAATGAACTCTTTTTATTATTTACCTTTTTCAGTGGTAAATAAATAAAACAGTTTTAATGCATCATTATTCTTGTATTAGTTTGGTTGAAGATATCATCTGAATCATTTTGGATATTTTTAATGCTGTGCATTATTGAGTTATTTTTTAAATTTGTTGTGAACGTTAATTTGAGATGATGATTGCTGGTGGTTTGAAGAAAGAAAGAACTTTTTAGTAGATGATGATGATTTTTTTTTTCTTATGATGAATTTTTATTTGCTTATTTTGTCTTTTTATCAGCAAAATTTTTTTTTGCTGATAAAATTTATCATTGTTGAAAAGAGAAATAGAACAATATAAGATAGAAATAAATAGAAGTAATAACAGCACAGAAAACCCTGCAGATGATCTATGAAATTATATTAATTGAATATATTTCAGATGCTTAATAAGTATTTGTATGCCGATCAGTTGGTAAAGACATAAACAATAATTTTTTTTTAGCCAATCAGTTGGTAAAGACATAAACAATTTTTTTTTTAGACAATCAGTTGGTAAAAACATAACCAATAATTTTTTTAGCACTTTTTTTTAGAATGGCTGGACACCATTGCATTATGCAGCTGATTCAGGTTCTACTGAAATCGTTATGTATTTAGTTCAAATGGGTTCTGATTCCACTATAGAAGATGTGGTACTATTTTTATTTATTTTTATTTCCCTTATCTTTTTTCAATTGAATATTATTAATATTATTACTATTTTTTTCTCAGTCCAAATCTGTGTCATGTCAATCTTTATCTAAATAAATAATTATTAAAAGTTATTTAATGTAGAAAAATTTTAAAAATTGTTAAAAAAAAAGGTTAACCATATAAATGGTTTCACTAAAAATTTGCTCAGTTTTTTTTTGCAGAAATATTTTAAATTTGTTTATAGGATGGTAAAGCTCCTCTTACATTTGCTGCAAAAAATCACCATCTTGAAGTAATGTCATTTCTTCTTTTAAATAAATTTGAAGTCACAGTTTTATTGCAAGATAAAAAGGTAAATTTTAGTTATTATTGAATTTTTTATTAATTTTATTATTAATTTTTTATTAAAAAAATATTAAATCTATGTTTTATTTAAAATTTTTTTGAATTTAGTTTCTAGGACACTTGATGATTTGCTGTAAATTGAATAACAATGAGTCAGCACAAGATTTCATTTTAAATTCTCCAGCACCCATTTACACTGCAATAAAACTTACTTTGATGTACAGAGCAGAATCTTTAAGAGTTAAAGACAAAAGTGATGATTATTTGGAAATTGCCGAGTTTTGTGAAGTATATATATATATATATATATTTTATTAATTTTACAGTGGAGAAAAAAGAATTAGCCTCACCTTTATTTTCTGCTCTAATTTAACAAAAATGGCATTAAAACAATTATTAAATCTACTTTATTTCTTATTATTGTCTACTGTAGTTTAAAAATTTATAAATTAGTATGTTTAAGTAATTACAAATGGAATAAAAATTAAAAGTATTCAATTTGTGGAGAAAACAAAACTAGCCTCATTTACGTTAATACAAGAACATTTTTTTTTTTTTTTTACGCTCATTTAATATTCAGTATTGTTTCCTGAATTTTTAATAACTTCAAATATTTGACTTGACATAATAGTCACAAGATTTTGGATAGTTTCTATAGATATTTCATTTTAAGCTTATCTGATACGAGTTTTCAGCGCCAATGTGGATCCAAATTGCTTACCATTTTCATAAACCTTTCCAGGAAGTATTCCCACAGATTTTCAATTGGGATTAGATCTAGACTGCATGAGGGACATTCAATTATGTGAATATTTTTTTCTCTAAACCAAGGTTTTTATAAGATTTGAATTATAGATAGCAGCATTGTCATGTTGAATAGTGAATTTTTCATCCATTGATTCTTCACCATGTTCAAGCAAACTAATTTCTAATAAATCAATGTAGTAAAATTCATTTTTGTTAAAATCCATGCCAGTGGATTTCCAGCAAAAGAAAAAGCTCCCCAAACCATAACAGTTCCACCACCAAAGTTATTACTTAGCTGAGCTTCTTCCTTATTTGAAAGTTCGTGCCAGTAATATTGATAGCCATCAGGATCATTTAGATTGTTTAGGGTTAGGGTTATGGGTTAGGGTTAGGGTTGTCAGGGTTAGGGTTAGGGTTCATCATCAGTAAAGAGAACTTGATACCGCTCTTCCAGCCAAGCAAATTATAATCTAGCTTCTTCATGACGAATAGTAAGGTTATGGTTTTGGCTTTATATTTTTTGACATTTTTATATATAAGAGACAAGACTAGATGCCTTCATAAGCGTTTTAGATGCGTTTTATATTTTGACATCCGTTTCAAAAATATTACAGTTTTTTTAGGTATCTTCGATATATGCAATTCTCGTATAAGGAAAAGTTATTTCTATTTGTTACCGCAAATATCAAGTATTATACATTTTATGATTTTATTAAATGTACCACAATTTAACTATGCCATATTATTATCTAAAAAGTTGTTCTTTGTAACAATTATATATGTGTGGATACCAAATATGCACCGCACAAATTTGCAACAGATTTACTTAATATTGGATTAGAATATGGCGAGGTTAATTTTTCTCCACTGTATTAGCTGTGTTACCTGCTTAAAAAATACTTGGCCTAGGTATTATCATCTAACAATTGCTATTATCATATTTGCTAACTTGGTGAAATCAAAAATGTTTATGAAAATAAACAATAAAATCTTAAATAAGACTTAATGCAATATCAGCTTGACATATTTTTTAGGTATATTTTTCATGTCATGTTTTTTTTCCAATCATTTTTAATTACTACCATAAAACTACCTAATTACGGACGTTTTGAAGTAAAAATTAAATATCTTGCTTATTATAACTAATTTTGAAAAAATAAAAACACTAAAATATGTGCAGCAACAAGACAAATCGAATGATATAAAAAAATGATATTGTTTTAATTTTAAATTTCACTAAACTTAAGTTTTTAAAAAACTTGTTTTTATCTGGAATTAGGGTAGTATTAATCTAATTCTGTATGGATACAAAATAGAAAAAACATATAAACATAAAATTAATTAATCAAACTGTTATTTTGCAAGCTTTTGGCTTGTTTTAGACTTGCTTTCTATAGTTTTTTTTGTATCTTTTTTCTGCATTTTCTTTTTTTTTAAGCGCAGCAGCAATTTTATTTTGATCTCTAGATAGTTATTTGGCGGCTTGTTTGTCTAGTTTTTGTTTTTTCGACTCTTGTTTGGCTTTGTTAAAAGCTATAGCCTCGGCTGAGGTCATATTATAATTGGCTGGCTGTTTAATTCTTTCGCTTTTCTCTTTTCTATTATCTGAAGATATATGTTGATCTTTGAGCAACATTAAAACTGATTGGTTGATTGCTAAAGCACTATGGCCGTTTTCAGGTTTAAACAAATTTTTTTAAATAAGATCCTTGAACATGGCAGGATATTGTCTCCGGAATTAAACTAAAACATTTTTACACTAATTTACGCACAATTCAGCATGAATAAATATTATTTTTGTTCTCTGTTACTAGATTTTTAATTCTAGCTCCATCAAAGATTTTTTTAATATCAAAGTCAAATATCTTTGATGTTAAAAAAAGTTATATTTATTTCACAAACAAATTTCACATTTATAGTTAGTTATATCAAACAGTTTTGACAAAATTATGTTGTCATTTCTTTTCTATTGTCCAAATATTCTTTTAAATTAAATTAAATTCTTTTAAGTTAAACATTATTTTAAATATTAAAATCTTTTTTAAATTCAAATTAAATAAAATTTAAATTAAACTTGATAATTTATTGTTGAGAGTTTTTTAGCAATAAGTAATTATTTATAATTTATTGTGGAAAATTTTTTAATAATAAGTAATTATTTATAATTGGTTGTTGAGAATTTTTTAATAATTATTAATAATTATTATATTAAATTTTTGATAGTTATTTATAATAAGATGTTGAGAGTTTTTTAACTATTAGTAATTATTTAAAAATTTTTTTGAAAATTTTTTAACAATAACTGGATAAAGTGCAGGAATTCCAAATATTGAGACCACAAGCTGTTAAGGGAATACAAAAATATTAACAAGGTTACAAAAAAATGTGTAAAATCTACAATGAGTATGAATATGAAATAGTTAAAAAATACAAATGAGTCAGATAATGCTGATGTTCTAAATAATTTTTTTTATTCAGTTTTTCAACAAAAAAAAATACCAACTTTTAATAAATCACTTGCAAATCTGTATTTAAACATTGACACCATTTTTAAAAAGTTAATCCAATTGAATGTAAATAATCTACTGAAGAAGATAATATGCATCTAAGAGTTATGAAGGAATATTCTTATAATATCTCAATTCCAAATGACAATTAATGATCGATCAATAAAGTTTGTCAATGACAAGTATTTATCTCCATCTTACTTAAGTGGCATAATTCCAATAGTATGGTTGTGCACAAATATTATTCCTTTATTCAAAAAAGAAGATAAACTTAGAGTGGCAAATTATCATCCTGTTTCACTGACCTCTGTTGTGTGCAAGGTAATGGAGAGTGTAATAAAATGCTTTGATGGAGCGTCTTGTAAAAAATAAGCAAATATCAGATTCTCAACATGGCTTTACTTGGAATAAAAATTAAATAGAGTTTTTAGATTTCATTACAGTCTTTGGAAAGTGGTTTTTCAATAGATATAGCTTTTTTGGGCTTCCCCAAAGCTTTTTTGTGTGCTACTGTATCAAAAGCTTTATTGGGCTTTGCCAAAGCTTTTGAATAACAAAACTCAAAGGGTTGTAAGGGTTGTAGGGTTGCTTATAAATTAGAATGGAAGGAAGTACTAAGTGGAGTGCCACAAGGCTCAGTGTTGGGGCCATTGTTGTTTGTTATATACATTAATGATATATCACAAGAAATAAAAAACTATTGTAAACTGTACGCTGATAATACAAAAACTATTTCGGTGATTTCAAATATCAATGACAACTGCATATTACAAGAAGATTTAATTAACCTTAGTAAATGGAGTAAGAAATGGTTGTTACACTTCAACACAGAAAAATGTAAAATTATGCATACAGGAAAAAAAATCTGCACTATGACTCAACTAACAAATAATGCATGTTAATATACTAAAAATGTATGTTAAAAACTTCTTAAGAACAAGGTTTAGTTTTCTTAATATCTAATGTTTTAAAATGACAAAGCCATTTAAATATGATAGCAGGAAAAGCAAACAGAATATTAGATCAAATAAGACATTGTTTTAAATACATAGATAAAAAATAAATGAAATTGCTCTTTTTTTTGTTAGTTCGGCCCCATTTGGATATGTTTCACTTATTTGGAATACTTGTTATGAAAAAGAAACAACAACTATGTCACTATAGGTTATGTGCTATAAATAGCAACTAAAAGAATTCAGGTTTACAACTTTAGAAAAAACAAAGAGAAATAGGAGAAATAATATAATACCATAAAATATAAAAAAAATTTCATAAAGTAAATTAAAGATAAATCCACCAATAAACAGTTTATATCCAGAAATAAGAGGTCATAATCAACGGTTGCACAAACAAAATATTTGTATATCAAAAGCAAGAATGCATTTCTTTACTAACAGGATAGTGAATAAATGAAACAGCCTAACCAATCAAGTTGTTAATGCTAATAATATCAGTATTTTCAAAAATAAACTGAACAAATAAGAGCAAGGCTCTTAAACTCGAATAGCTTTTTTTTTTTTTTTTTAACATCTTTGCTTCCAATAAGATTAAAAGTAACCACTAATTAGAGTTGGAAGTTACTGGAAGAGAAAAGATGAAGTTTGTTGAGCAAGATAACAATTGACAGATGACTTAAAAGATTTAAAAATTATGAGTCAGGAAAGCCAGATGAAGGAAGAGAATTCCAAAGAACTGATGTTCGAGGAAAAAAACTAGACGAATGAGAGTTTTTAAAGCACTTAGGAACAGACACAGAAAAAGGATGAGACTTAATTGAATGACGAGTAACATGAGAATGAATTTTAGTAGCACAAGAGACGCTAGCTCTTTAGTTAGTTTAGCTCTTTAGCAGTGCCCATTGTAGTATTTGTAGAAAAGAGAAAGAACAGCATTACAACGATTATGTGATAATGGTTGAAGGTTGGCTGCAAGAGCATGTCCAACTATGTTTACAATACACTTTTGCACCTTGTCTAAATAAGAAAGGGCATCATTAGAAGATCCGCCCCAGATATGGCAACAGTATTCCATACAAGGCCGGATTTGAGATTTATAGATAGAGAATAGAATCTGGAGTAAGAAAGTGTCAAGCTTGATAAAGAGATGCAACCTTAGCAGATGCTAATTTTGCAACGAATTTGAAATATGGTTTACAAGAAAGGTTAGAAGTTAAGAGTAAGAGTTAATCCTAGATGATGAAGGGTAGATGACTCATGTACATTACCGTTCATAAATAAAGGAAGGTCTAAATTATTGCGATAACAATTGGCTGAAAAAAATTGATTTTTATCTGAATTAAAGTTCACCAGCCACTGTGAGCCCCATGCTGTAGCAGAAGTGAGATCCTTTTCAAGCTCAAATGCCCCCTCCAAGCAATTAGAGAGTGTTGGCTTCTTATCATGACAAGAAAAAATGTTAGTATCATCAGCGAATAATGCCACCTTAGATGTGAGAATATCTGGAAGATCGTTAATGTAAATTAAAAAGAGTATAGGGCCAAGGATTGACCCTTGAGAAACATCTGAGGTTACAGAATAAGAAGAAGAGTGCTGTCCATTGAGGACAACTTTTATACTACGATTGGAAAGGAAGGATTCAATAATCTTAAAGCTTGATCGAGAAATGCTTCTAAACTTGAATATGAAATAAAAAAAATAATATTCGTATCATATTAATTTAAATTTAATATTAAGTTTTTTGAACAATTTTATCAACAAGTTTATCTTGGTTTATTATCTCTTCAAGAATTTATATTTTACGAAAAATTTAAATTATTTTTTATTTATTAATTTTTCTCATTAGCATATGACCTATGAAATTCTTCATGTAGCAACAACTTACGGAACCGAAGAACTGCTTAATGCTGTAGACGATGCAAAGAGACCAATTCTCAATGTATTGATTGATGAAGAATTTAAAGATTGTGTTGCGCACAGCAATGTGCAGAGCTATTTAACTGATCTGTGGAAAGGTTTGATCAATATTTGGTAGTTTAAAAATGTTCTTGAAAACAATCATAAAAAATAAATTTATTAGATTAACGTTTATTTACTTATAGGAAATGGTGTGCCAATAGAAGGTGTATATTCTCTTTTGTTAGCTTTAATTTGCTTCCTTTGTCCACCTTTGTGGTTTTTTCTTTGCTTACCGTTTCATCATTGGAACAAAGTACCTACAATAAAATTTATATGCCATATTGTATCACATATATACTTCATAATTATTTTATCTTTTGTTATTGTTGTTCCTTGGAATCGTTCACATATAGAGGTATTTTTTTTTCTTATAATAGCATTGTGATTTATTTAAATTTAAAATCCAGAAAGCATTACAATTTTTTTAATATTTTCTAGATTGTTGAAACTGCATATTTCTAGGTTCTTACAATATTACTTGTAGTAATAATTTTCGGTCTGTTTGTTTTGTTTTTCAGTCTAAAGTTGTTTAGTCTATCCTATTCTGTTTTTAGTCATCAAATAAGAAGTGTAAATTGATTTTCTTTTCCAAATACTAGTCAAACCTCAGATACATTAAAGTTAAAAAGAAAAGAGAGTTTTGTCATTGAAACTTTCAATGACAAAATTCAAACACACATAAATTTTTATTTTTTAATTTTGTACTTTTTTATTATTGTGTTTTTAAATGTTTTATAATAATTATTTTTTCTTTTTATGATAAGTGCTAATGTTTAAATTTTACTTTTATAAATCATATAGCTCTTAGAATTTTTTTGATTTACTTTAATAAATCGTATAGCTCTTAGAATTTTTTTGATTTACTTTAATAAATCATATAGTACTAAGGATTTTTCTGATTTACTTTAATAAATCACTAAGGATTGTTCTGATTTACTTTAATAAATCATATAGCACTAAGAATTTTTCTGATTTACTTTAATAAATCATATAACACTAAGGATTTTTCTGATTTATTTTAATAAATCATATAGTTGTTAGTATCTTTAGATTTATTCAAAATTATGATACAAAACAATTTTATGTTTGTCAATTTTTCTTTACATAGATTTTTGTAATTATAAAGGCGTATTTTCTTCAAAAAGTTGATCTGGTGAAAAAAAAAGTAATAATAATTGATTAAAATTATTTTATTTTTCAAAGTAAATAAATAAATAAAATTTAAAACCATTTTTTCATGCTCTAAAGCCAAAATTTTTAAGCTAGCACAGGGCGACTAAAATCCAAAGTTGAAATTGTGTGTTTAGTTATTGAGAAAATTTTATTTACATGTGTTCAAAAACTGTGATAATAGAAAATCAAAGTTTAAGAAATGCTTTAGTTCATTTTTATATTGAATTATTTTAAATGTCTCAATCTTTATTTCAAACCAGTTCTTAAGTGTGAGTATGTGTTTGAACATAGTCATAAGAATAAATAGTCTGGAAACACGGCCTGGGAACAATAGTTTTTGCGTGATGTTAGGTTCTTGTACCCAGCCTACTTTAAGGTGCAAAACAAACAATTTTTTATAGTTTAACTATAAGTACAATGCCTGGAGCAAATTGTTCAATATGTGGTTGTACTACTTCTTGTATAATATAGCTTTAGGAAGACTGAATATAGCTATACCGTTCACACGGTATAGCTATATTCAGTCTTCCTAAAGTTCAGGATGACTATAATGTTGAATGGAGAAGAAAATTGATAGAGATTATCACAAAAGATCATTTGATTGATTCAGCATTAAGAAAACAAATTGTCAGCGAATCTTTACATGTATGTGAAAAGCATTTTGAAAATCACGAAGTTAATAAAAGTAAGCTATGTGTTCACGTATTCAAGTGTGTGTATATATATATATATATACATATATATGTTTATATTTCTGATAGCATTTATGAATATTATTTTAAATAAGTCTATTATTAGTTCATTGTTTTAAAAATATTGAAATAACATTTTTTTATAGATTCAGCTAGAGCAAGACTTTTACCAGGATCTTTACCTTCAAAAAATTTACCAAAAAGTAGTTTTTTCTTTTTCCTTTTTTTTAGTTCCTTAGCAATATCAAAACTTCCAACATTAAGTATTGAGTTAAATAAAGATTGCTGTGAAATTGACAAAGTTCAAAATGATGTACATTCTTTTTATAAATCGTTTTCAGAATTTGTAGATTGTGTCAGCACCCTTATGTTGGATTCATGGGAAATTGTTATATCAAAAGATTTAGTCAAAGTTTTCAAATTAGATAATATATAATATTCACCTACAACCCCAATATGAAGTATATATTCAACCTAGCCTATTATTTACTATACGATCTTTTGCTTGGAACTTACTAGACAAGCATGAGATATATTCTAATTATAACAAATCAGTTAAAAACATTACTTTATCAATTATTATTACACTTTTATCAACTTACTCATTATGTCAGGGTGTTGCCTCTGGTTCAAACATTTTTAAAAAACATATTCTTACAAAGTTGTACAACCCAATTGTTACTTCAATTACTACATTTGAGACTGAATTTAACAGGTCAACTTTGTGTTTGTTATTGATAAAGTCAGGTAATACTTGTAATGAATGTAAAACTTTGGAATTGTCACATAATAATAAACATCATAAGGCTGTAAAACGTAAAGCTGAAACAATCACAAAACCTGCTCAATTGAATGCCCCAATCTCATTAACTTCACCTGATAGAATTAAACTTACTTTGCAAAACTATTGATCTGAAAATGCTTTTTTAAAACAAGAAATAAAAAATATGCAAGAAGAAATTCAAAAAAATTCATTTCAAGTAACCTCTGACCTTAATGATGATATGAAAAGTCTAATGTCAAATGCTTTTGAAAAATATAATCTTTCACCATTTATGAAGTTCTTTTGGAATGAGCAACAAAAATACTTATTATCAAATCCAACATCTGTACGATATCATCCTATGATTATACGGTATTGCCTAAGCCTTTGTGCAAAGTCTCCTAGCGCATATGAGGATATTTGATTTGATAATAAGTCTGGTACTGGTTTTCTTGTATTACCAAGTCGTCTTCATGACTACAAGAATTGTATTTATCCTCAACGTGGTTTCAATCCTGATATTGTAAAAGAGTTGAAATCAAAAGTAAAAGATTTTAGTGAAATAGAAAAAACATATTGTATTGTTATTTGATGAAGTTAAAATTCAAGAAAATCTTGTATAAGGTAAACACACAGGAGAAATTATATGATTTGTCAACCTTAGTGAAACTGATTTAAACTATGCAACTTTACAAAAAGTTGATGCAGTAGCAACTCATGTTCTAGTATTTATGATACACAGTATAGTTAACCCTTTTAAGTTTACACTTGCTAATTTTGCCACACTTGGAATATCATCAACCCTAATTTTTCCCATATTTTGGAAAGCTTTTGTTGCTTTATGTGAACTGGAATGTTCACATAAAGCAACAAAAGTTAAAAGTTATAGCAACAACTTGCGATGGTGCTGCTCCTAACCGAAAATTTTTTTAAATGCATTCATGTTTATCTAGTTTTAATAATAAAAAGATGTAGATAAAAATCTATATTGTCCTGAAAGGTATATTTACTTTATATCTGACCCCCCCCCCTCCCACATCTTCTTAAGACAACAAGAAACTGTATTTATAGCTCTGGCTCTAGTAAATGTACTAGATACATGTGGAATGATGGTTTATAGATTCTATGGAGTCACATAGCAGACATTTTTAAAGAAGACCAAACATGTGGTTTACATCTACTTCCAAAATTATCATATAATCACATAAAATTATCATCTTATTCTATTATGAACGTCAAATTGGAAGCTCGAGTTCTTAGCAATACTGTGAGTAAAGTCCTTCCTAACTATGGATCTTCAGATGCTTTTGCCATAGCTAACTTTTGCTCAATGGTTGACAGTTTTTTTGATATTTAGAATATTAGTAATCCTATGGAATCAATTCAAAAGTCAAAGCCATTCTTAGTCCCATTTCCTTCTGTTAGCAACTATCGTTTTAACTGGCTTAAAACAGAATTTTTACCATATTTTGAAAAGTGGTTAAATAACCGTCAAGCTAACTTTACTCTAAATGATAAAAGTAAAATAATTATATCGTGGCAAACCTATGAAGGGATTAAAATTATTGTTAATTCTGCTGTTGAGTTGATAAAATTTTTACTTTTTAATGGTGTGTCTTATGTATTAACAGAAAGATTTTGTCAAGATCCACTTGAAAATTATTTTGGACAATGCCAAATTGGTTCTGGCAAAGATAATCTATCTGTCTGTGATTTTGGCTATAATGATAATACCATTCGAAATCAAAAAGTCTTCCGACCTATAAAAGATGGTAATTCCAAGGAAGAGGTTTACTTTGAAATTAATGAAGAGCCAGTACCATGCAGAATGAATAAATAATATACAAATTGTTAAAACACATTATTGGCTAAATGAACAGATACTTCATGACCCAATATTGATTGATTTGACCAATAAAAGATGAATAAATTTAAATAATATTATACTGGGTTGTAATTATATAAAAAAATTTCTCGCTTGAATAGATTGGTTGATTAGTGTCTAATATGCTAGTGTCGAACCCGCTGATAACCCAAAGGTCAACACTAGTGTAGTAGACAATTTGAGGCTAAAATTTCATAATTATTAACTAAAGTTAAAAAAATGTAAATAGATAATAGCCTCAGTTTTATTTATATAGTTGCTTAAAATCTTTAGTTAAAACAAAGCATTTATGTTAAAAAAGATTGCTTGTTAAGCTTCTTTTTTTTTTAAGAAAACATTGAATTTTCTTGGCTGCTTTTATAAAATAAAAGTGTAAGGTCTTAATTTTTGAACGCTAAAATATTTCACTATGACATTTAAAGTTTATCAATGAATATAAACCTAGTTGAGAAATGTACAAAAATATTTTACTAACTTGTTACTCTAATGATTGGGGCAGGGGGGCAAAAAATTTTGGGTCATTTTTGTTCTCAGGCTCCAATCATCACAATTTTTTGCAAAGCATCCTTTTTTGACATAAGTATAAACAAAAGTTTATATAAATAAGAGTATTGGAGTTATAAGTGAAGTTAGAGTGAGTCTACTGAATGATTAAACTTGATTACAAGGGGAAAAGGGCTCAAATAATGATGAAAAAGATTTTAATGCTTATGTGTTACATAAGATTCTCGAACTAAAGTTCAATACTCATGTAAAAATTTTTACAATCTATTTTAATTCATAAAGATTTAGCTTTTTAAAAAAAGCTAAAAAAAAAAACCAAACAAAACCTAAAATTTGTGAAAAAACATTCTGACTTCAAAACATGGTTGATCAGCATAATTTTAAACCTTAACCCTCCCTTGTAGTTGCATATTTTATATACTCTCAAAAAATATATATTGATCTTGTGCAAAGTAAATGCTCTTGTTTAAAAATTTCTAATTGGGGAGAGGACTTCATAAATGGGTGGCTGCAAATTTTCATGAGTGCTTTTATATTTATTTTAAGGTTAGTTTACTCTAAACGGTTTTTTTAGTTGTGAGATATGATTCTTTTGTTGATAATTAGTAAATTATGATAAACAGACTGATTTTTTAACTTAATTTTATTAAATAAAAAAAAATTAATTAGCAAACTCAATAAGCTCAAAATAAATAGGAAAGTGTCTGAAAAAACTTGGAATATTGTAATAAAAACCATTTTGGCCCTAAATGTTATCTAAAAACTATCAACTATGTAAAGTTTCCAATCCTCACAAAATAAAGTCTCTGTAAATTTTATATAGTTACATTTTGAGTTCAACTCCCATTTATTTAAATTTTTTGCAAAGCAAAAACCTTATTTGACTAATTGAATTGATTGTAGAAAACTTTTTTCAAATGAAAAGAAAACAATTTAATAAAAAACTAGTAATATATATTCTGATACCACAAAAATGTTTTTAGCCATTTGTAGCTATGAAAATAGCTGTTTTAAAAATTTTTTTTTTTTTTTTTTTTTTTTTTTTTACATCTTCACTTCCAACAAGGCTGCAAGCAACCACTATAAGAGTTGGAAGTTACTGGAAGAGAAAAGACTAAATCTGTAGAGCAAGATAACGATTGACTGATGACTTAAAAGATTGCAAATTATATGAATCAGGAAAGCAAGATGAAGGAAGCGAATTCCAAAGAACTGATGTTCGAGGAAAAAAACTAGAAGAATAAGAGTTTTTGAAGCACTTAGGAACAGTCACAGAAAAAGGATGAGACTTAATTGAATGGCGAGTAACACGAGAATGAATTTTAGTAGATGGCACAAGGGACGCTAGCTCTTTAGAGCAGTGCCCATTATAGTATTTGTAGAAAAGAGAAAGAGAAGCAACATTACGACGATGTGACAAAGGTTGGAGATTGGCTGCCAGAGCAGGTCCAACTATGTTTACAATTCGTTTTTGCACCTTGTCTAAAAGAGAAAGAGCATCATTAGAAGATCCGCCCCAGATGTGGCAACAGTATTCCATACAGGGACGGATTTGAGATTAATAGAGATAGAGAATAGAATCTGGAGTAAGAAAGTGTCGAGCTTGATAAAGAGATGCAACCTTAGCAGATGCTAATTTTGCAATGGATTTGATAAATTGAGATAATATCAGATAATTGTTTTCAATTGTCAAATGTGAAATTTATATATTGTTGATTATATACATACTTATTAATATACATATTAATAAGTACTCTTCTTTTTTAGTGAAGTTCGCAGTGACTTAGACTTGAGTTGTTGAACTTTAATTTTGTAAGCTTGTAGATTATCCTTGACACAGGAAAATGTCCTTGCTTTCACATACAAATTCAAGATGTCCTCAAGAACATTTAAACAAACCTCTTTATTAACAAAAGTATCAGTTTCACTTCTATTTCTTGAAAAATTAGATAAAACATTTGTATCTTTAAGAAGTGAGGATAGAATATCTTTGCTGTCAATTTTATTGATAGACTTACTAACCATTTTTTTAAAGGTTGTTTCAGCGGTAATAAAAATACAAATTGCCTCGATTTTCATTTTCCACAAGCTTGATCTGTTACGCGTGTTAACAAGTTTGTGCTCATGCAAATTATCGCTTCCTTGATATTTAGCAGCAAGTAAAATAGATATATACTGTTGATAGTATTCTTCCTTATAAATATCTGAAAACCTGAATGATTTTGTATGGAATCAAAACAGTTATCTGATGAAAGCTTTGCAACACTTCTTTCTAAATATATCTGAAAGTCTTCAAGATCAAGAATTTCTTCTGATATTTTAGTTTTTCTAATATCTGATGAAATGCTAGAATGACTTGATAAGACATCGAAATGTTTACTATTTACGTGACGAGTGAGACCTCTAGAGCTCAAATATTTCTTGTTACAAAAATTGACAGGAAAGTGTTATTTGTGGAATATCTGAAGCATGTTATTCTTCAGCAACGTCATTTAACAAATCCTGGTCAGTAACTTCAAAAATAGAATCACACTCGTCTTGATGCAACTCAAAAATAGTCCCAAAATTATTCAAATCTTTTGAACTTTCAGCCATCATAAAAGTTTGTTTTGCACCGTATTTACAAAGACCACCCGATTTTCAACTTAAACAATTAAAAACGGCCTGCGTTTCCAGACTATACTTTTTATGACTATGGTTTGAAAGTGCGTGTGTTTGTGTGTGTTCGTTTGAGTGTGTGTGTATGTTTAAGTGTGTGTATGTTTGTGTGTGTGTTTGTTTTGTTATAATTAATATTAGTATTATATTAGTTATTGCTGTTTTTATTATTGTTATTATTATTATTATTATTAATATTATTAGTTATTATTATTTATTATTATTATTATTATTATTATTATTATTATTATTATTATTATTATTATTATTATTATTAGTTTTGTTATTCTAAAAAATACTTTATAATAACTTCTATTATTTCAACGTTTAGGTTTTTCCTACTTACACTGAGTGGATATTGTTACTTTGGGCTTCCGGGCACTTTTTAGCTGAAATCACAGAACCGGATTCGCAAACACTTCGAGTTGCTATATGTTTACTTATGGGTTCTGCCATTGGAACTCATGTAGTTGCAATATTTATGAGTGGCTCTACTCGTTTGGAGATTATGTACTGTAGAGATAATATTCTTGGAGTTGTTTTAGTAACTCTTATGAGTCAGTTTATGTTGTTTCTTTCATTAAATCAGATGTTTGGTCCCTGGTCTGTGATAATCGAAAGACTGGTATTCGATGTTTTCAAGTTTCTCGTTATTATGTTTTTGTTTATTTTTGCTAAAACATTACAAACGGCTGTTGTATTTAAGCAAGTTTATGGTCTCACAGAAGTGGATGTAACCTCTTCTACAGTTTCTTACTCCAACAGATATGCTCAAGATGGAATCTGGGGTATGCTTTATGAGAACTTTTTTGCACTTTTTGGTTTTACATCACCCCCAGGAGCATTAGATGAAACGGAAATGATAACTAATCCCAGTTTTACATATATATTTGGAACTATTAGTTTTGCCATATATGAAGTTTTAGCTGTCATAATCCTTATTAATATGTTGATTGCCATGATGAGCAACACGTATACAATACTTGACGAAAAATCGGATATTGAATGGAAGTACGGAAGAGCAGGCATCATTCGTTTCATGACAAAATCTTTTTCCATACCTGTTCCTGCAAATGTGCTAGCAGCTCTTTTATCTGTACTTTGGGTTTGTATTCTTCATAAAGGATGCTGTTGTTTGGAGTCTTTAAAGGCTCGCTTCAAACCAAAATCTGAATTTGACTCAAAAGAAGACCAAGCAATAGAAAAAGATCCTGAAGTTGCAACAGAAATGGTATCAGTTTGGGACGTGTTTGATTGGTCGGCTATCGCAGATGAGTATATGTTAAATAACGGAATTGAAGATCGATATGCGAAGATAGAGAGTGTAGTTGCAGATATGTCTAGCGAAGTTGCAAAACTACAATCTTCAGCTCAAAAGTCGGTTTAAGTTTCAAATTTGTCTTTACGTTTAAACATTTTGAAAAATATTCCATAAAAATGATTAACAATGATGATAAAAAAAATTACATGAAAAAAAACCTATTGAAAATACAAAACTTTCAAAAAAAAGTAGAAAAAAGTTTAGTTACTACTTCTTGGAGAAGAACTCGAGACAAAAGACTATTGTAATTCTTATATCTTAGATTTTTCATCCCATAAACTTTTTTATATATTATTGAATTTGCAAATCAAAATCTAAAGTTAGTCTTTTTTTTTTTGTCTTATCATATACTTAATCACGTGATTTTTTTTTTCGTTATATCTTTTTTTCGTATTTTCTTTTATATACAACAGTATTAAGTTGTTGAGGGAATTATTTTTAAAACAAAGTTTCAATTATATATTGTGTCATACAGTTAACTTTTTATTAAAAATTTTCAATTAGTTCCATTTTTTTTCCTATTTTCTTACTATTCAAACAATTCATTTTGAAACAGTATTATATGTGTGTGTGTATATATATATATAAATATATATATATATATATATATATATATATATATATATATATATATATATATATATATATATATATATATATATATATATATATATATAATTTTTATAGCAAAAAAGCAAAGAATAATGAAAGAAAAAATTGCTGTCCCATCCTAAAGCTTCAGTTAATGTAGTGGCACTCTTGTGCGGCTGCAGGCTATAAGAGTACTTTATATATGAGCGGCCCTGGCGCTGTGGTTTAGAGTATTCGCTTCGGAATCAAGTTTGAAACAGTCGGGCCAGGTGGTGCATAAAAGTAAAAAAAAACTTACTTAAAATTTATATTATAAACCATTGTATAGCTTTAACATTCAGCTTTTATAAATTGTATATATTTTTGTATAAATTATCATGCCGTATCCTTCTATGCTGTAGAATGAAAAGCTTTATTTTGTTATTTATTTTTTTTTTCGAAAAAAAAAAATTAAAAAATATACTTCGATAAAGTTGGCATATTTGCCATCTTTATCGAAGATGGCAAATATGCCAACTTCGATAAAGATGGCAAATACTACAAATACAAAAACTAATAGCTACAAGTAATACGAAGAGAAACAGTATCTACAAATTAAGAAACAATAGCTAATAACAAACAGTATCTGCAATAAACAAATTGAACCGATCGGTTCAAGTTGTTGTTGATAAAAAGAATATTCTTCTAACTGCTTCGATTGATAAAGATTACTCTGCTCTTACCCCAACTGTAGTTTCTGGTAGACTACTGGTGAATTTTAATACTTCAAGTAGTAAAACAAAGAAAACAAGGTTGGCGCTATTAATTCTATCTTTTTCATATTCAGAACTGTTGTAAAAATATTGCATCAGGTTACAGTTTGCGCCAAGATGGTAAATAAAAAGAAGCTAAAGCTGTATTACAATTATCAGAGTTAATAAGTTTTGAAAATTAATTGTTAACCAAAATATTTATATTATTATATACTCAAAAAATTAGTACTAGTTTACTGAAATTATTAATTGGGTATTATTTTAAATGTTTAAAATGGTGGATGTTTTTTTTAACGGAGCAGTAGAAGGAACATAAATACAAAAAAAAGAAAAGTAATTTAATTTAATCTAAACTAAATAAATTAAGTAAATAATTTGATGAACAAATAGAAAATGAATTTAAAAAAAAAAAAAAAGGAAAAGGAAAAAGTACTTTTAAACTTCTACTCAATTTAAATACAACTTCCAATAAAGATATAGATAAGCGTTTATGAGTTAACAAAAGAATTTCGAATTCGAAAAAGATTTAAACCATTCAAAATTGTTAAATATATTACTATTATTTTAAATTTAGTTATTAATATATTATTTTTACTTATATTTAATTTTGTTTTATGTTTTTTCAGTTTTCGCTTATAATATATTTATAATATTAGACATTTTAATATAATTTTCTATTTAAATTATAATTAGTTATATATTCTTTTTTTTGGTTTGTGATATATTATTACTTACTATTCTATTGTTTGATTATTATAACTATTATTTTATATTAGTTTGTTCATTAATACTGCTTAATTAACGGCAAATATAAATGTTATTACTACTATTATAATTGTTGCTATTATAATTGCTTTTTATATTATTCTATCATTATTATTTTTCATTGTTATTTCTTTATTATTTTTTTTTTCTTTTCCTTTAAAACTTAACAACTTCAAGTATTCTTTTAAATTTTGCAAAAAAAAAATTTTAATCTTTCTCATTAGTTTTACTATGACCTCTAATTTTCGGGGAGTAAGCACTGCCTGTACAAAAAAATTTAGAATGAGTTGCCGTGCAACTCAATGTAATGTATGTTTATTTTGGACTCAAAATGTAGCAGGCTTTATAATCATGGGTACAATTTAACACAATCAAAACGCTCAACATGGCTGAGTGTAAGTTGTACTAAAGATTTCCATTAACCTGATAATGAATTTAAACTTTTCTTCTCTTCAAATAAAATTATTATAACTGATGAATTGCCTTTCTCAACTAAACGCTTTCCAGCATCGGGATTGAATAAAATTTATAACCTATTTAATAAATTTATTACATCCATGCTTCAGTTTCTGATGAGGAAAACTGTTCATCTTTTAATGTTGATTGTCAATATTATGACATTAATAAATTATTGTTCTCATAACTTTGACATCATAAACTTTATGTTTTTCCATTTAAACATATCCTCTTTACAAAAGTACTTTAAAAAACTGAACATATTATTATCATTAATTAGTTTTGAATTTAGAATTATTGGAATTACAGAAACAAGATTAAAAAAATCTCCTTCCACACATCTAATTATTATTCAAAATTATAATTTTGAGCACACACCAAACGAATCTTCTTGTGATGGAACCTTGTTATATTTATCAAAAAGACTGATTTATAAAAGAAGAAATGATTTGATCATATACACACCAAACTATTTAGAATCAATTTTGGTTTATAAATAATATAATAATTTTTCCCAAAAAAACTAAAGTTATTGTTGGTTGCATATATTGACACCCAAGCATGGATGCAAACGACTTCAATAATAAAGTTTCTGTCCTTCTCCAAAAAATATCTACTGAAAATAAACCTGTCTTTCTACTTGGCGATTTTAACATGGATCTAATACAGTCAAACTCTGACTTTGCAACTTCTGAGTTCTTAAACTTACTTACTTCTTATAATATTCGCCCATTTATTACGCTACCAACGAGAGTTTTGACCATTCTGTTACAATCATTGACAATATCTTTTCAAATGTAACCACATACAAAATTATTTCAGGAAATCTAACAACTTCTATTTCTGATTACCTACCTAAATTCATTATTTGTCCAAATTTCAACAAATTATTTATAACACGCAATCATAATTTATACCACAGGAACTTTAAAAAACTATAACAATGAATTGTTTAAATCTGAATTATTAAAAGTTGGCTGGAATGACATTACCAATAAAAACGGTGTAAAATTTTGAAGCATTTATCTCTCAAACAATATTGTTGTGAGATTGTCATGTTGTGAGATTGTCATGTTGTGAGATTGTCATGTTGTGAGATTGTCATGTTGTGAGACTGTCATGTTGTGAGATTGTCATGTTGTGAGATTGTCATGTTGTGAGATTGTCATGTTGTGAGATTGTCATGTTGTGAGATTGTCATGTTGTGAGATTGTCATGTTGTGAGGTTGTCATGTTGTGAGATTGTCATGTTGTGAGATTGTCATGTGCCGCTCAAAAAAATTAATCTTAAGAGCTCAAGCGTCAATTCAAACCATGGGTTACTAAAGAAATGATAAAATCAATTCAAATTTGAAATCTTATTCAAGGAAAAATGTTTAGGACAAAAGATCGAACAAATATAATTAAACTAAAAACTTTAAACGTAATAAATATACCATAATTAATCTATTAAAACTGAGTAAAAAATACATTTAAAAAAAATTATTTTCAGAAAATGTAAAAAATTTTCATGAAACCTGAAAAGGCAAAAAAAGTCTAATAAATGTCAAAAATGTCAATAATGTACCTCTAAATTGCTTACAAGTTAACGAAACATACATAACTGAACCAACTCTAATCTGCAAAAAATTGAACAACTTTTTCACAAATGTAGCTCAAAAACATAGTTCTAAATTTCCCCATCTTACATTACCTATAAAAAGGTAATGTAAGATGGGGAAATTTAGAAATCTTAAACATCCAAATCTTCATAGTTTACTGATATCATCAACAAATCATTCTGAAATCTCATCACTTATAACCTAGAAAATTAATAGGTCCTAGCAGCATCCCCACAAACATTCTTATTGATTTTGATTCTAAATTTTCTTATATTCTCTTTAAGCTATTTAATATCTCCTTGGTTCAAAACTCTCATGTACTAACTATGGTAAAATTTCAATTCTATCTAACATTAGCAAGCTACTTGAAAAACTAATGTATTCTAGATTATACTCATTTTTAACTTCCTTTAACTTTTTAAATGAATTTCGGTTCGGATTTCGGTTAAAACACTCTACTTGCCACGCTTTAATAAGTATAACCAAAAAAATAAAAAAGGCACTGGATACTGGTCATTTCGTTGGTGGTGTTTTTTTCGACTTACAAAAAGCTTTTGATACCGTTAATCATAGCATTTTAATTTTTAAATTTGAACATTACGGAATCTGAAGAGTTGCTTGTAATTGGTTTCAATCTTGTTTTTTGAATCGGAAACAGTTTGTTAGCATTAATGGTTACAAATCAAATAACAAGTACATGGTTTGTGGTGATCCCAGGGTTCTGTTCTTAGCCCTTTATTGTTTTTGACTTATATTAATGATCTAAATAACTCTGTCCACTTCTTATCAGTCCATTTGTTTTCTGATGATATAAATATTTTGCATATTAATAAGTCTCATCATTCCTTGCGTAAAAATAAAAACTTAGATCTAAAAGGCTTAGTTAATTGGTTAAATGCAAACTTAATTTCTCTGAACTTAGAAAAAACGAAGCTAATATTTTTTATCTCCAAGACAAAAAATTTTATACAAAAATCATATAACTAAAATTAAAATTGATTATAGACGTTTATATCCAACACACGTTGTTAAATATCTAGGTAATATTATAGATTCGAACCTCTCGTGGAATTTTCATAAAGATGCACTTTGTAAAAAAACTTAATCAAGCTAATGACATGCTCTCAATAA